GCACCATGCGGCCCCGCGATCGATGCACGGGGAGGGCGTCGATTCCCCTCCTCCAGGGGCCTGCTTCCCTTTTGCTATTAAATACACTTTGTCCTTAATAAAACGGAGCAATCAATCTCCTCCATGCAGCAGGCGAGGAAATAGCCGGGCTAATTTGACAGGGATGGGCTGGGAAGTGTTGTTAGACACCGTGTTTGAACTGCGCTTATTATCGGATTCCTCTCCCGTTGCTATCAGCAGAATGCACAATCTCCAGCTCCTCTTTATTTATTTTGATTGTTGCTGCCGTGAGCGTTCAAACCTCAAAAAGGAGCCGGCGGAGCGGGGACCAGCCCTGTCACACTCGCTCCTGCGGCAGCTCCCGCGTGTCCCGGGAGCAGGACTGGGGTCGGGGCCAGAGGGGACGCGCAGCCACCGTGTCCTGGCCAGGGTCTCACGCTTGGGAATCGCCCGGGATGAGCCCGGGAGAAGGTGGCTCTGGCTCGGGCAGTGCCCTTGCTGTCCCCTCCCCAGGCAGGTGCTTTACTCTCAGCGTTGGCAGGCGTTTGTCTCGGGGCTTGTGTCCCCCCCACACCCAGCCGCTGCTTTCCTGGGTTTCTTCTCCCCTCCCTGTCAGCTGTTTAATTTATCCCGCCGACTGATGAATCAAAACGGGTGACTTCAAACAACGCACTTCAATAAGGCGCAGGTACAAAGTCGAGGCGATTAATCCCGAGCGAGCGTGCAGAAGTCTCGGAGCCTGAACCGCCGCCTGGTCCCTGCTATCTGCCGTAATTGCATCCCAGGACAGGTTGCGTGCTGACTTGAATAGCACATAACCTTATTATGCATGTGCTTCTGCATTTCCCGGAGACCTCGCTGCCTTTGAAAAGGTTTGGATGAATAGGTAGACGAAGCGCCACAGCCAATTAAGCATTATATGGGGCTTTTTGTTTTGTTTCATTTTTGGATTTTTGTTTGTTTAGTGAAATGTCAGGCCAATTAAAGTGAGATCAGCGCCGGCTTTCCTTGAAAGTCAGGCCACCGCGGACGGAGGTAAATGAAAGTTAATCAGAGCCCCAACAAAGCTGCTGGCGGGCAGCAGGGGAGAGGGGAGCGGCCGTGGCAGCCAGCCCGCATCCGCGCATCCCCTGCCCCGATGCCGCAGCCGCAGGCTCTGGGGCCGAGCCTCAGACAAGGGTGCGCGGACCCGCCGGTGCTGGGTGGAGCTGGGAGCCCAGGGACGAGTGTGGTGGCGGGGGGAGCCACTCTTGCGCCTGTATGAGAGGGCAGCTTATTTCTGCCGAGGGGACAATTGGCAGCCTGCTAATTTAATTATGGAGACTGCAGAAAGAGGATCTCATCTACCAGGTGCTGAGCCTTGTTAAGCTAATTGTCTCCCTCTCTCCGCTTTCTTCCCCCTCCCACATTGCCAGAGATGCTGCAGTTGCCTAATTAAGTTATCAGAAAGATAATGGCTGGTTCTGAATCCAGTGCCTTTAAGAAAAGCATCCATCTAATAATTGCTTTTCTGCGAGCAAGTAAATGCTGAGGCGGAATTTCGGCTGGCACGTGCCGGGGGGCGGCCGGGGCTTTCCCAGCCAGGGCCCGCTCTGCGCGGGGCCGGTGGTTCTCTGTCTTGCTCTACGCACGGTGGCCTCGCCCGGTGGGAGACGCCTTCCCACCCTCCTCTGCTCGGTGGCACCTTCTGCTGTCCCCATGTTCCTGGTGGAAAAAAAAAAAAACAGCCTTAGCTTCTGGGCAGCGTCTGCCCCCAGCCCCGCCACGGCCCGTCCCTGCGGAGGAAGGCTTTGCCCGGACGGGCTCTCAGCACACTCTGCCTCTCCTCCCCTCGACAGTCCCTCCGCTGATCCAGCCCTTCGAGTTCCCGCCAGCCTCCATCGGGCAGCTCCTCTACATCCCCTGTGTGGTCTCCTCCGGGGACATGCCCATCCACATCACCTGGAGGAAGGACGGCCACGTAATCCTCTCCGGCTCTGGAGTCACCATTGAGAGCAAGGAGTTCATGAGCTCCCTGCAGATCTCCAGCGTCTCCCTCAAGCACAACGGCAACTACACCTGCATCGCCAGCAACGACGCCGCCACGGTCAGCCGGGAGCGGCAGCTCATCGTGCGGGGTGAGCGCCGCGGGGCCGGCCTGGCCCCGGCCCGATGCTGCTGTGCCGGGCTCGGGAGGGCTGTCGCGGTGGGGAGCAGAGAGACGTTCCGAGGCTGGAGGGGGTGAGGCTGCTCCCCGGCCGCAGGAGGGGCGCGGAGGCAGGCGGGAGGGTGAGGAGCAGGGCTGAGCCAGGGCACGCGTGTGCCTGCAGGCTCGGAGGGGTTGCAAGGCGGGGACAGGGTTTTTGCTATGGTGACTGTCTTTTCTCTCAAATTACTTAGTGCCTCCTCGTTTTGTGGTCCAACCCAACAACCAAGATGGCATTTACGGTAAAGCCGGGGTGCTGAATTGCTCCGTTGACGGGTACCCCCCTCCGAAAGTCATGTGGAAACACGCAAAAGGTGTGAGACACGGCAGCACGTGGGACGGCAGTGCGGGCGGGGGAGAGTCCCTTTTGGGCACGGCCACCCCGGCCTCGGCTGAGCTCCGTGGCTCTGTGTCCCCTCCTAGGAAGCGGCAACCCCCAGCAGTACCACCCCATCCCCCTCACGGGCCGCATCCAGATCCTGCCCAACAGCTCCCTGCTCATCCGCCACGTGCTGGAGGAGGACATCGGCTACTACCTCTGCCAGGCCAGCAACGGGGTGGGCACAGACATCAGCAAGTCCATGTTCCTCACCGTGAAGAGTAAGTATCTGGGGCTGTGCCGTGATGGTGAGGGGCTGGGGACCCCCTCCCGGCAGGGTGAGTGCTGTCACCAGAGCCTGGGCCGTGCCGAGGGTTCCCGCCGTGCCGGGCTGGCTCTGCCCTCAGCACCATGCGGCCCCGCGATCGATGCACGGGGAGGGCGTCGATTCCCCTCCTCCAGGGGCCTGCTTCCCTTTTGCTATTAAATACACTTTGTCCTTAATAAAACGGAGCAATCAATCTCCTCCATGCAGCAGGCGAGGAAATAGCCGGGCTAATTTGACAGGGATGGGCTGGGAAGTGTTGTTAGACACCGTGTTTGAACTGCGCTTATTATCGGATTCCTCTCCCGTTGCTATCAGCAGAATGCACAATCTCCAGCTCCTCTTTATTTATTTTGATTGTTGCTGCCGTGAGCGTTCAAACCTCAAAAAGGAGCCGGCGGAGCGGGGACCAGCCCTGTCACACTCGCTCCTGCGGCAGCTCCCGCGTGTCCCGGGAGCAGGACTGGGGTCGGGGCCAGAGGGGACGCGCAGCCACCGTGTCCTGGCCAGGGTCTCACGCTTGGGAATCGCCCGGGATGAGCCCGGGAGAAGGTGGCTCTGGCTCGGGCAGTGCCCTTGCTGTCCCCTCCCCAGGCAGGTGCTTTACTCTCAGCGTTGGCAGGCGTTTGTCTCGGGGCTTGTGTCCCCCCCACACCCAGCCGCTGCTTTCCTGGGTTTCTTCTCCCCTCCCTGTCAGCTGTTTAATTTATCCCGCCGACTGATGAATCAAAACGGGTGACTTCAAACAACGCACTTCAATAAGGCGCAGGTACAAAGTCGAGGCGATTAATCCCGAGCGAGCGTGCAGAAGTCTCGGAGCCTGAACCGCCGCCTGGTCCCTGCTATCTGCCGTAATTGCATCCCAGGACAGGTTGCGTGCTGACTTGAATAGCACATAACCTTATTATGCATGTGCTTCTGCATTTCCCGGAGACCTCGCTGCCTTTGAAAAGGTTTGGATGAATAGGTAGACGAAGCGCCACAGCCAATTAAGCATTATATGGGGCTTTTTGTTTTGTTTCATTTTTGGATTTTTGTTTGTTTAGTGAAATGTCAGGCCAATTAAAGTGAGATCAGCGCCGGCTTTCCTTGAAAGTCAGGCCACCGCGGACGGAGGTAAATGAAAGTTAATCAGAGCCCCAACAAAGCTGCTGGCGGGCAGCAGGGGAGAGGGGAGCGGCCGTGGCAGCCAGCCCGCATCCGCGCATCCCCTGCCCCCCCACAGTCCCGGCCATGATCACCTCCCACCCCAACACCACCATCGCCATCAAGGGCCAGACCAAGGAGCTGAACTGCACCGCCCGGGGCGAGCGGCCCATCATCATCCGCTGGGAGAAGGGCGACACCGTCATCGACCCCGACCGCAACATGCGCTACGCCATCACCACCAAGGACAACGGCGACGAGGTCATCTCCACCCTCAAGGTGAGGGCCGGGGTCTCGCGGCCGCCTGCGCTGCCGGTGTCTTGCTCGGGTGATGGAGGGGGCCCGGGGAGGCGGGCAGTGGTCCCCAGCGGGTGTCGCGGTGGCCGGGCTCCCAGGGTGGCCCAGCCGAGTCCGGCAGGGAGGGATGTTGGGAAACCCGCTGGGGGTTTGTACTCGTGCACCTTGGCCCCCGCACGCTGCAGCACAGCCAGGCCAAGCGCCCGGCCAGCGCCTGGACTTTTACAACCAGCGTAAGAGTTAGGGCTGCCCTGGGCCCTGGGCTTCCAATTTTAATCACACCAGTTAAAAACCAGCCACCGTCTTCTTCCCGTGACAAGCCCCTGGATTTTGCGCTAAGTCTCAGCTGCCTGTACCACGGGCTCTGGCTGCGAAGGCGTTTTGCAGCACCAGGGGCGTCTCAAAAACTGATTTGCAGTGCAGATGTGAGCCAGGGGACGGGGGGTTTGGAGGGCGACCTGCCTCCATGGGCTCCGTGCCCGCAGGGGCTGGTGGTAGGAGCAGGCTGTGGTGCCGGGGGAAGGCGGGGGCACGGTGCCGGGTGTAGCTCGGTCTGAATTGGCTCCTCTTCTCCCCCTGAAATGTTTGTAGCTGAAACCAGCCGACCGCGGGGACTCGGTCTTCTTCTCCTGTCACGCCATCAACTCCTACGGCGAGGACAGAGGCCTGATCCAGCTCACTGTCCAAGGTACCCCTCCTCTGCACAGAGCCTCGCTGCAGGGGTCCCCCTGCTCCCAGGGGCCTTCTCTGTCTGTCACCCCTAACCCTGCCCTGTGTCCCCCAGAGCCCCCTGACCCACCAGAGCTGGAGATCCGTGAGGTGAAAGCCCGGAGTATGAATTTGCGATGGACGCAGCGGTTTGACGGCAACAGCATCATCACCGGCTTCGATATCGAGTACAAGAACAAGTCGGGTAGGTGCTGGCCGGTCTCCCCTCCCCGTGTGCCACCGCGGCCCCGATGAGCGGCGGGGCTGGGGGCTGCATCCGAGTTCCTTTGATGAAGGAAGGAGAGAGCAACACTAATGAAATATGTTAATTTCTGCTGGATGGGAGCATTTGAAAGGGAATATTAAAAGAGACAATATTTGCGAAAAGCCAAGGCCAGACTGCACGAGAGCCAGGAGGGGGGAAGCGGCACCTCTCCCTGGGGCTGGGGCGAAAGCCGGAGGTGCCTGGGGACCCCGGGATGGGATTCAGGCGCTGACCCCCCTGTCTCGCTCCACTGCTCTTCCAGATTCCTGGGATTTTAAGCAGTCTACGCGCAACATCTCCCCGACCATCAACCAGGCGAACATCGTGGACCTCCACCCGGCCTCGGTGTACAGCATCCGCATGTACTCCTTCAACAAGATCGGGCGCAGCGAGCCGAGCAAGGAGCTCACCATCAGCACGGAGGAAGCAGGTACCGCTCGTGGCCCAGGCGGGCAGGGGCGGCCGCGGGCAGCGCGGGGGCTGTGGCCTTGAGCCAGCGTTTTCCTGATGAGGAGGTTCTTTCCGTGACGCTTCTCAACAACCCCTCCTGGGTCTGTTTCCGCGCAGCTCCCGACGGGCCTCCGATGGACGTCACCTTGCAGCCGATGACATCCCAGAGCATCCAGGTCACCTGGAAGGTGAGTGGGGCCGGGGCCACGCGGGGCCTTTTCCCGGCCACGGGGGCTCATGCAGCGCCCAACACCCTCCTGAGCCTCCGTGGCAGCAGTTTGTCCTGGGACCTGGCGTTCCGTCAGCGGTACGAGGGCCAGGGAGAACTTCCCGGGCAAAATGAAACCCCAAAGGCGAGACCTGCAGCTCGGCTGCATCGCACGGGGTCCTTATTAATAACGTTTTATAACAAGCTCATTATCTCATAGGATGTCTGTGGGGGGCCATGCGAGAGAGAGGATAAATATGTAAAAACTGAGCCGCTGGGTTGCAAAGCGTTTGAGCAAAGATCAATAAAACGTAGAATCGGATTTATTTTTCCAAAGGTGCATAACGCAACGTAAAATTGATTATAAAGTTAGGACTTTGGAATGAACTGGTAAGTCAATAAATTTAGGGTCCCAGCGTCTCCCCCCCTCCCCTTAAGTGCTGAAAAACAAATTAATGGAAAATAAGATTCACTTGAAAGATAAGTCACTTCGTTTTAAGAGTATTTCAGTAAGATGGATCGCCCTGGCTTTGTAACATGAATTTGCAATCAACCCTATTGATTTCTTAATGCTTCAGAGAAATATTGTTAAGATTGATCTCAACCTGGCCACACGCGTGTTTAAGGCTGCCAGGCCTGGGGTTTTCCCTCCTCCGATTGAGCTGCTCCGGTCAGGGGATGGCGGCGGCCAGGCCTGTCCCTCCCCGGTGGCCTTCGGGGACCCGCTGGCCCGTTTTTGTCACCGTTCTGCCACTCAGTGCGTGCGCCAAGTGCTGCTGTGGGCGGAGAAAACGTAAAAGCTTTGAGAAAAGACGCTGGGGAGAGGGAGCCCTGCCAGCCCCCCGGCCCCGGGACCTGCCTGCTGGGTGTGACACCCCCCCATTCCTCAGGCCCCGAAGAAGGAGCTGCAGAACGGGGTGATCCGTGGCTACCAGATCGGGTACCGGGAGAACAGCCCGGGCAGCAACGGGCAGTACAGCATCGTGGAGATGAAGGCCACGGGGGACAGCGAGGTCTACACGCTGGACAACCTGAAGAAGTTCGCCCAGTACGGGGTGGTGGTGCAGGCGTTCAACCGCGCGGGGACGGGGCCCTCGTCCAGCGAGATCAACGCCACCACGCTGGAGGACGGTAAGGCTGGTCCCGCCCCGGCCCCGCGTTTCTGCCGCCGTTGGAAGGACGTGGAGGTGGGTTTGGACATTGCCGAAGCGTCAGGGAGGTTCCGTCCGGGAGAGATCGCTGGTGGCCTCTGTCGTTTTAAGAACAATGAGACAAAAGTTTTGCAGCGCGTTTGCGCAGCAGTTTTTCATACTTAATTAAGGCTCTCGTTAGCCTGTCAAACCATGATCATTTCCTGGCTGCATTAGCACTCCTCCTGGGGTATTCAAGGGCCCCTGTTTTAGCAATAGTATCTTTTCCATAATTACATTACCTTCATTTAGTTCAAACGAACTATCTGTATTAGTTTATTATACTCTGTCCCTAATTACATGGTGCTTATATTTTTGCACCTAAGTAATATGAAACAATAATCATTTTCTGAGAGGATCATTATGGTGATGTATTATCATTTAAATGCTCATAAAAATTAGAGTTACCTCTTACGGGGCAATGGGATCTAATTACCTCGCATCCAGCCGGCTCTCCCGCTCTCCCCTTGCTGCATGTCCCGGCAGCCGCCCTGGCCCCCCGAGCACGGGGACTGCACCCCTCTCCGTGGTTCAGGAGGAGAAGGACTCCCCGTCAGGCAGAGGGCTGCGTTTGCCCGGCCCGGGTGCCCTGTGTGCCGGCCAGGACCGGCTCCGGGGGCTCGGGGGGCCGGGGCAGAGCGGGCAGTGGCACGGTGGGGTCCCACGCGGGGGCAGTCGGGGCGGCCGACCTGCGGACACGGCTCCTTCAGCCTGGCCTCTGCCGGGCACCTGTCGCCTCTCCATCCTCCCGCTGATCGTCCTCCCTCATCCGTCCCCTCCTCAGTTCCCAGCCAGCCCCCCGAGAACGTGCGGGCCATCTCCATCACGTCGGACGTGGCCGTGATCTCGTGGTCGGAGCCCCCACGCAGCACCCTCAACGGGGTGCTCAAGGGCTACCGGGTCATCTTCTGGTCCCTCTACATGGACGGAGGTGAGCACTGGTGGAGAGGCGGGGACGCGGGCGGGTGGCGGCGGGGACTGACGGGCCCCGTTTCCCGGCAGAGTGGGGCGAGATGCAGAACATCACGACCACGCGGGAGCGCGTGGAGCTGCGGGGCATGGAGAAGTTCACCAACTACAGCGTGCAGGTGCTGGCCTACACCCAGGCCGGCGACGGCGTCCGCAGCAGCGTGCTCTACATCCAGACCAAGGAGGACAGTAAGCGGCGCTGCCCGGGGAGTGGGGGTGTGGGCGTGCTCTCCTCTTAGCCCGGCTGATAAACCACGTGCTGATTCCAAGGGAGAAGATAGAGCGTTGAGCAGGAGCTGCTAGCGATGACTGAAGGCAGGCAGGTGCCCCTGGAGCAGGCGGGGCCTGGGCAGGGCTTCTCCTTCCTTTTCCTTTCCTCCCTGCTCGGTTTCCCAAACCCATGGCAGGTCCCGTGCCCGGCAGCCGGCCGTGTGCCCGGAGCTGCACCAGGCCGGGGGGGGCTGAAGGTTCCTGGTGCGTCCCTGCGGGGTCCTTGGCCACCACTGCTGTGTGGGAGTGGAGCCCAAACCAGCCCCCACCAGCCCCAGCCCCCTCGGGCCTCGCTCCATCACTCGCGCCGCGGCCGGCTGGTGCCGGGGGACGTGCCACAGCGCGTTGTGCTGCTGCGCTGGCGAGGGCAGGGCTGGAGCGGCTGCGGGGGCACAGAGGAAGCCCCCCGTGTACAGCCATGGGCAGGACATCTCCCTCTCTCTTTTTTTCTTTTCCTTAAGTGCAGATAGTTAAATATTTACACCCCTGCCTGCCCTACTTTAACGCCATTAACTCGGTAGCTGCGCGTTTCCCGGCCCATGGGCCGGCGCTGCCTGTCCTAGGAAGCACCAGATGCCGGGGAGGCTCAGCTGGGCAGGGTAAGGCTGAGCCACCCGGCAGATTAAGGAGACGCCATTAAAAGCCAATCACGGTTCTAAACCCGAGCCTGGGCTGCGATTAACCCTCCTGGCTCTGGCTCGGCCACGACACCGTGGAGAGGTGTCCCGCGGGCAGTGAGTGGGGTGACGGTGGCCTGCAGACCCGTCCCCGCTGGCACCCGCCCGATGCTGGCGTGGAAACACCATCACAGCTCCCCTGCAGCGTGCGGCCGGAGTGCCAGCCCTGCAGCAGAGCGCTGCCGCCTCGCCGGGCTGGGCAGAGCCCTCCCGCGCCAGCTCTGCCACGCTCGCCCTCCTGCAGTTCCAGGTCCCCCGGCCGGCATCAAGGCCGTCCCATCTTCCGCCAGCAGCGTGGTGGTGTCCTGGCTGCCGCCGGCCAAGCCCAACGGCATCATCCGGAAATACACCATCTTCTGCTCCAGCCCCGGGTCGGGGCAGCCGGTACGGAACGGAACGGAACAGGGCCGGCCGCGGCCGGGCTGTGCCGCGGGAGTGCGGAACGGGAGGGAGGGCTGATGCGGGGCGGCGGCAGAGCCCTCGGGCCGGGTCCGTGTGCCCGTGGACGCTCTGCACCGAGGCAGCGTCCCACCGTCCGTCTGTCCCCTTCCCCCAGCATCTACCCTGTCAGTGCTCGCTCCAGAGGGGAAACGTGCCAGCAGCTGACCAAAAAGAAAACAGAAATCAAACCTGGCCCCATCCCTCCTTCGTGAGGAAGAGGTTGATGGGAGGTCTGCAGACTAGTGCTTATCAAAAGCTCCTTCTCAAACTCATTTCACTATCTGAGCCTCTGGTTTCCAGGGCAACATAATCTTTTCATCAAAGCAACTGGTAAAACCGCTGGGATCCGATATTGTTTTCTTGGCATCTTGTCAAAACTGTCATTTGGGTAAAAAAAAAAAAAATTAAGTATGCTATACAATATTCATATAGGTGTCTGCTTGTGGGGCACATTTACACCCGCGGGCCCCGCAAGGACGCACGTTTGACAGCGGTGAACACGCGGGTACCCACACGTGTGACCCCCGCCCCATGACGGCCGAGCATCAGCCCCTCCCCAGCACCGCTGCGGTGGGGCAGGATGGCCAGGGGCCGTGCAGGGTGGCCCTCCCCACGCGGCCTTCGGCCTCAGCGCGACGCAGAGCATCCTTGCTGCGGGCCAGGCCTCCCTCTCTGGAGGGTCGGGACGGTGGCTGCGAGCCACGTGGGACGTGAGCCTGCACGAGCTATTGGGGACCCCGGGCCGCTCGCTGCGGCCGCAGAGGGGTTTGGGCAGCCCGGCCGTGGCTTGTGTCGGCGTCCGGCTCCCGCTGCGGCTCGGCGGGCGGCCGGGGAAACGTCCTTTCCCGGGAACAAATCCTGCCGTCGCAGCCATCTGTTCCTCGGCCCGGGCTCCCTGGAGAAATGACGACACCAGCCGGTTTACGCTGGCATTGAGACACGCGGAGCGGAGCCCAGCGGCTGCCCGGGAGCAAACCCCGGCACCCCGAGGTGGCGGCTGCCGAGCGGTTGGGGACCCTCGGGGGGTCACTGGGGTGGGGGGTGCCCGGCTGCAGACAGCTGGCCCAGAGGTGGCTTTTCCTTGCTCTGGCCACTGCTTGGGCTGGTGGCCGTGACCTCGCTGCTGGGGTACCCCGAGGTGAGGGTGGGCCGTGGGGGTCTCACGGAGGCTGCACCTCCTCTCACCTCCCTCCCCGCAGGCCCCCAGCGAGTACGAGACGAGCCCCGACCAGCTCTTCTACCGCATCGCCCACCTGAACCGCGGGCAGCAGTACATGCTGTGGGTGGCCGCCGTCACCTCCGCCGGCCGTGGCAACATCAGCGAGAAAGTCACCATCGAGCCCGCTGGGAAAGGTACCAGGGGGGCCATCGGCTCGGGGGGGCCGTGCAGCCGGCCTGCCCACCAGGCTGACCTCCTGCTTGCCCTCAAGCCCCTGCCAAGATCATCTCCTTCGGAGGCACCGTCACCACGCCCTGGATGAAGGACGTGAGGCTGCCCTGCAACTCCGTCGGGGAGCCGGTCCCCGCCATCAAGTGGACCAAGGACAGGTACTGCGGGGCTGGCGGCGGGGCCACAGCCCGGGACGGGGCCAGGGCCGGCCGACTCGCCTGTGCCACCATGTCTTCTCCCGCTTCTTCTCTTCATCTTCTTCCTTCTCCTTCTTTCTCTATTTCCTCCTCCTCCTCTCCCATCCCGGCAGCGAGGACTCTGCCATCCCCGTGACGGCGGACGGCCATCGCCTGATCCAGGCCAACGGCACGCTGGTGCTGCGCTCGGTGAAGGCGGAGGACTCCGGCTACTACACCTGCACCGCCACCAACACCTGGGGCTTCGACACCATCATCATCAACCTGCTGGTGCAAGGTGAGGGGCGCTGGCGGACGGCGAGACGTCTGCAGGGGTGACACGCCGCAGGGTCGCTCCTGGGCGGGGGCCTCTCGCTGGCCCAGGGTACCAGGAAGGTGCTCACGGGCTCCTCCCCCCTCCCCAGTGCCCCCGGACCAGCCCCGCCTGACCGTCTCCAAGACCTCAGCATCGTCCATCACACTGGCCTGGATTCCTGGGGACAACGGGGGCAGCTCCATCCGAGGTACGGCTGCTGGCCCCCAGCCCCTGTCCCGAGCTGCGGGTGCCTCTGGTGCCGGCGCTGGGGGACGAGGCTCGAGTGTGGGTTTTCAGGAGCATCCCACAGACTGCACACCCGCTTTGGTCTCTGTGCCTCAGTTTCCCCCTCTCTGAAACGCCCCAGAAGTGCCCCAGAGTAAGGCTGATGCTTCTGAGCTTGCAGGAGGGCCACCAGCCCTAAGGGAGGTGTTTTAGGTGACCGAAGTAGCTACCGAAGGGCACGTCACTCCTTGCTCAGGTGCTGCCGGCCAGGGCCAGCCCGTGGCTTCGTGTCTCCCGGAACTGGTATGGCTCTGAACCCAACGGGGTAGGATTTGTCCCCCAGCGTCTCCCCTCCCTGGCAGGCCGGGGGCTTCAGAGGGGCTCCAGGAGTGTCCCCACTTTCCAGAGCCTCCTTCCTGCTCTGATTCATCTCATGAATTATACGGTGAAACAGCTGCACGCAGAGGGGGGAGCAGGGAGCGAGGAAGGAGACCTCGCTTACAATTAATTAAAAGCATGAAAGTAATTACAAGCAAATCTCCCCAGCCAGCAGCCTTTCACTCCAGCGGACTCTGTTGATAAATTTGGTTATAATTGGATTAGAAATATTAGAAACATGCTGCATGTACAAAATAAATAAATAACCAGTGTCAGGCACCAGGGTGCCAGGCACCATGGGCAGTGCAGGGGTGCCAGGGCGGGCTTTGGCACGGCCGACGGACCGTGTGCCCGTGGGCAGAGCCCCGCCGCCCCGCGAAGGTCCCGGTACCCCCGTCCTTGGGCCCTGAGCCTCCCTTCCCGCGGCACCACTCTGCCGGAGCCGGGCGCCTGCAGAGCCAACACGGGGCACAGGCCTTCGCGCGGCTCCTTCAGCCTGGCCTCTGCCGGGCACCTGTCGCCTCTCCATCCTCCCGCTGATCGTCCTCCCTCATCCGTCCCCTCCTCAGTTCCCAGCCAGCCCCCCGAGAACGTGCGGGCCATCTCCATCACGTCGGACGTGGCCGTGATCTCGTGGTCGGAGCCCCCACGCAGCACCCTCAACGGGGTGCTCAAGGGCTACCGGGTCATCTTCTGGTCCCTCTACATGGACGGAGGTGAGCACTGGTGGAGAGGCGGGGACGCGGGCGGGTGGCGGCGGGGACTGACGGGCCCCGTTTCCCGGCAGAGTGGGGCGAGATGCAGAACATCACGACCACGCGGGAGCGCGTGGAGCTGCGGGGCATGGAGAAGTTCACCAACTACAGCGTGCAGGTGCTGGCCTACACCCAGGCCGGCGACGGCGTCCGCAGCAGCGTGCTCTACATCCAGACCAAGGAGGACAGTAAGCGGCGCTGCCCGGGGAGTGGGGGTGTGGGCGTGCTCTCCTCTTAGCCCGGCTGATAAACCACGTGCTGATTCCAAGGGAGAAGATAGAGCGTTGAGCAGGAGCTGCTAGCGATGACTGAAGGCAGGCAGGTGCCCCTGGAGCAGGCGGGGCCTGGGCAGGGCTTCTCCTTCCTTTTCCTTTCCTCCCTGCTCGGTTTCCCAAACCCATGGCAGGTCCCGTGCCCGGCAGCCGGCCGTGTGCCCGGAGCTGCACCAGGCCGGGGGGGGCTGAAGGTTCCTGGTGCGTCCCTGCGGGGTCCTTGGCCACCACTGCTGTGTGGGAGTGGAGCCCAAACCAGCCCCCACCAGCCCCAGCCCCCTCGGGCCTCGCTCCATCACTCGCGCCGCGGCCGGCTGGTGCCGGGGGACGTGCCACAGCGCGTTGTGCTGCTGCGCTGGCGAGGGCAGGGCTGGAGCGGCTGCGGGGGCACAGAGGAAGCCCCCCGTGTACAGCCATGGGCAGGACATCTCCCTCTCTCTTTTTTTCTTTTCCTTAAGTGCAGATAGTTAAATATTTACACCCCTGCCTGCCCTACTTTAACGCCATTAACTCGGTAGCTGCGCGTTTCCCGGCCCATGGGCCGGCGCTGCCTGTCCTAGGAAGCACCAGATGCCGGGGAGGCTCAGCTGGGCAGGGTAAGGCTGAGCCACCCGGCAGATTAAGGAGACGCCATTAAAAGCCAATCACGGTTCTAAACCCGAGCCTGGGCTGCGATTAACCCTCCTGGCTCTGGCTCGGCCACGACACCGTGGAGAGGTGTCCCGCGGGCAGTGAGTGGGGTGACGGTGGCCTGCAGACCCGTCCCCGCTGGCACCCGCCCGATGCTGGCGTGGAAACACCATCACAGCTCCCCTGCAGCGTGCGGCCGGAGTGCCAGCCCTGCAGCAGAGCGCTGCCGCCTCGCCGGGCTGGGCAGAGCCCTCCCGCGCCAGCTCTGCCACGCTCGCCCTCCTGCAGTTCCAGGTCCCCCGGCCGGCATCAAGGCCGTCCCATCTTCCGCCAGCAGCGTGGTGGTGTCCTGGCTGCCGCCGGCCAAGCCCAACGGCATCATCCGGAAATACACCATCTTCTGCTCCAGCCCCGGGTCGGGGCAGCCGGTACGGAACGGAACGGAACAGGGCCGGCCGCGGCCGGGCTGTGCCGCGGGAGTGCGGAACGGGAGGGAGGGCTGATGCGGGGCGGCGGCAGAGCCCTCGGGCCGGGTCCGTGTGCCCGTGGACGCTCTGCACCGAGGCAGCGTCCCACCGTCCGTCTGTCCCCTTCCCCCAGCATCTACCCTGTCAGTGCTCGCTCCAGAGGGGAAACGTGCCAGCAGCTGACCAAAAAGAAAACAGAAATCAAACCTGGCCCCATCCCTCCTTCGTGAGGAAGAGGTTGATGGGAGGTCTGCAGACTAGTGCTTATCAAAAGCTCCTTCTCAAACTCATTTCACTATCTGAGCCTCTGGTTTCCAGGGCAACATAATCTTTTCATCAAAGCAACTGGTAAAACCGCTGGGATCCGATATTGTTTTCTTGGCATCTTGTCAAAACTGTCATTTGGGTAAAAAAAAAAAAAATTAAGTATGCTATACAATATTCATATAGGTGTCTGCTTGTGGGGCACATTTACACCCGCGGGCCCCGCAAGGACGCACGTTTGACAGCGGTGAACACGCGGGTACCCACACGTGTGACCCCCGCCCCATGACGGCCGAGCATCAGCCCCTCCCCAGCACCGCTGCGGTGGGGCAGGATGGCCAGGGGCCGTGCAGGGTGGCCCTCCCCACGCGGCCTTCGGCCTCAGCGCGACGCAGAGCATCCTTGCTGCGGGCCAGGCCTCCCTCTCTGGAGGGTCGGGACGGTGGCTGCGAGCCACGTGGGACGTGAGCCTGCACGAGCTATTGG